TTAACCCAACCAGGGACGGTGGCTCACGCCTGTAATCCCAACACTTTGGGAGGTCAAAGAGGGCAGATCACCTGAGGTCAGGAGTTTGAGACCAGCCTGGCCAACATAGTGAAACCCTGTCTCTACTAAAAGTGCAAAAAATAGCCAGGATTGGCAGCATGCACCTGTAATCCCAGCTACCTGGTAGGCTGAGGCACAAGCATTGCTTGAACCCAGGAGGAGCTGTAGGTTGCAGTGAGTTCAGATTGTGCCACTGAACTCCAGCCTGGGCAACAGAATGAGACTCTGTCTTCCAAAAAAAAAAAAAAAATTACTCTCAAAATAAATGCATTTAGTTGAGTGTTTGTATGAGACAGAGACAGAGAGAGAGACAGACAGTGATAGAAAAGCAGAGATATTAGGAGGACAACACAGAGTCTTTTCAATGATCTTCCACAAAGAAAAAAATAGTAAAGAAAAATAAAAATGTGCAAATTTGAAAATTGCATCTGCTTTGCTAAAATTTCAGCAATAATCATGAGAATTTTTTATAATTTAGAATAATAATTTTTTTTTTCAGAGAGCAGCATTTTATCACTAAGCACATGACAGTAATAAAAAGCAGAAATACATTTATTCTGGCTTTATCATTGTTTTAAAATATCTAATGGCGATGCACTGCTTACTCTTTACTGCCAAGCAAACTCTACCCATCGCCTGGTCCTTGGCATGCCGCTCAGTAGAAGTCAGAGAATCCCCTTTCTTCCGCTCCAACAGAATCCCAATCAGGGAGAAAAATGACCAATTTCTTTCCTTCCTCCCTCCCTCCCTCCCTCCCTCTCTCTCTCTTTCTTTCTCTGCAGAGCAAACTCTACCCATCACCTGGTCCTTGGCATGCCACTCAACAGAGATCAGAGAATCCCCTTTCTTCCACTCTCCAACCAGGGAGAAAAATGACCAATTCCTTCCTTCCTTCCTTCCCTCCTTCCTTCCTCCCTCCCTTCCTTCCTTCCTTCCTCCCTCCCTTCCTTGCTTCCTTCCTTCCCTCCTTCCTTCCTCCCTCCCTTTTTTTT